GGAGCCGAAGGTACTCCTTAGACAGGAAATAGAAACTCGCTGAGTAGCCTAAAAGAAATGTCTGGCTTACAAACAGAAAGAGACAAGAAATCATAGTTAAGCGAACAGAAGAAAGCTTTAGGAATCTTGTTTCCACTACTAGACCTGGCGGCTGGCAAGGACACTTGGTCTAGCTCTCAGCATGGAACAACGGAAATTGTTGACCCTCACCCCAGCTCAGACTTGTCTATACTGTATTCTTACTCATCCACACGGACATTCAAGCTACCTTCCCTCACCAGTCTCCAAGCTCTGTTCAATCAGCCATCCAGTTTCCCAACATGCCCATTGTCGTTCTGGCTCAACCTCTCAACGTCCCCCTTCTGATCTGTTGCCAAGGCCTTCCAAAGAGCCTCTGACATACACTTTTTCCTCCCTTAGGGCCACACATCACATGTAAATCTGATCACGTCTCTCCACCTTAACTGTCCTCCCCGTCGTTCCCCAGGGTGTACTGTGATTGGGTCCGAACTCTTTCAAATGGCACAGACACCTGTGAGCTGTCCCCTGCCTACCTTTGCAGCTTCTTTAGCCTTCTTCCAGGTCTTTTGCTCCAGTTTCACCAAACTAATTTCCCTGCATTCCCTGTCTTATATCTTAGCTCCTGCTATTCGCTTTACATTCAATGGCCTTTTTTTTTTCTCTAGCCAGCTCTTACAGCACTTTTAAGATCCTAACCAATGTCATTTCTTCTAGGACAGATTCCCAAACTTTCTCAGTTCACAACACCTTTAGCATCTTGGTCATTTTTACATTGAGCATGTAGGCCAACATAAATACCTAACAGTTCTGTTTATTTAGCAGTTAGATCCAAACAACTTAATGAGTATTTACCCCCTACAGCCTAAGAGCCATGTGAAAAGTACACAAAATGGAAAGAAAAATATTTTATTTCACTCTTTAATGACCACAACCACTTATTAATGGGATGTGTGTGACTGTTGGGCACTGCGCAACTGTCCAAACCTTAGAATCAGGTTGGACACTGCTACTCTCCTCTCCTGTTCCACATTGGTTTTCCCTGGGTACTTTTTATTATAGCAGTTACCAAAATTCTAGCTTCACAAAGAAATGACATCAAGAAGAATGCAACACAATCTAATAGTGAAACTAGCTCCCTCAAGCTAGTAACTTATGGGATGTCTAACACATGAGATTGCTATGTGTCCCTCAAAAATTTAGAATACCCCATGGCACCTCTCGCAGTTTGCTGCGGGCTCCCAACCTATGGTAGCTTGGTGTACAATTTAAGAACCTCAGCCCCAGAAACCCTCTTTCCTCTTCTTTGTATGCCCAGTGCTAACACACTGCCTGCCATACAGCTGGTGTTCGGCTGAGAGGAACTGGACTGCCCAGGGGGTCAGAGGGCACAGTGGAACCCCCAGAGAACCAGGGTGGTTGCAGAGGAAACCAGCCTGGGTGACAATTAAACAGGACATCCCAGTCAAGCTCAAAACCTGTGAACCCGGGAGGGAGCAGGAATCTTGCTGGACTCGCCCGTGCAGCCGAACCCAAGCACGGGACCCAGAGGTGATGGTCTCCAAAAGGACACCCACCAGTCAAACTTTATCTTGAGTGTAGCTTTCTGATCTAAACTCTTGGTTGTGTATTTGGTTTTCTTTTGGCTTCCTGGTAAGAGTTCCTGGGGAGGAAGCGAAGGAGGGAGGAAAGAATGCCACTTTGTCTTAGGCAAACTGGAAAGGGATTTTTCCTCTCCAGTCTCCTTTGAGGCATCTCTGTGACCCTGGTGATGGGGCAGGGCCATGGCCCTGGGGCCAGACCAACCTGGAACCAAAACTTCAGCAGAGCTAAGAGCAGACAGTGGCAAGGACCCCAGCCAGATCGAAGCAAGGCCCTCGGTGGGTGCTGCAGCTTCCTCTCATCTGGGCTCCTGTGCTCCCAGCTGCTTGCCTGGTTTTTCACTGAGCCATTGGTTTGATCTCACAGGTGCTCCTTCCCCACCATTAGCAGGACATCAGATTTTGTATTATTTTTCCCCCCACCTTCTGCTGAGAATGAACCCTAGACCTAACTGGGAAGGTTAGGGCCAGAATCAGAGAGATCAAATGTGTGTTCCCTAGTAACAGCTGTAGCAGCTCACGGGTCCCATCTGAATAATCAGCTGCTGCAACCCAGTGGCCGGACCCCTCGCCTTTGGGCTTAATGGGATACTCTGCCTTTATCTGCTCAAGGTCTCCGACAGTCTGCCAGCTTCTGAGTCACTCTGAGGGTAGCAGCTTCTCGGGCTCAGCCTGGTGTTTGGGGTCCAGCCCGCACACCCTGCTGTTCTTGGCTTTGGCCCCATCGATGGGCTGTGGAGGTGGGAGCTCTATGGCACCAGTCTTTCTTCAGCGGGGTAGAGGGAGGAGATGTGTTCTGCCACTGCCCGCATTCAGTCTGTTCTGTGGGCAGAGTTCTGGGAACAAACTCAACCCAAATCATTGTCATCCTGGCAGTGCGTGAAGGAGCAACAGAACTCTCCGCCTGTGGCTTGTGACCCTAGGGAAGTGGTGATTTTACTCATACCACCGTCCTGCCTGGAGAATCACATACCTCTGCTTCAGATCAGTAATGCCTTCCCAGAAACTTTCTTTTCCCCCAAAAGGAAACACACACACACACACACACACACTTTTATAGCACCTTCCTGTGGGAAAGTTCTTTCTGGTATCTGACTTGAGACCTTTGTGCTATAGCCAGAGTTGATGTTACTTTGGGTGACCCTGACTAGAGAAGGTACATCAGAGGCAAGAACCTTCTGTAAAATTGAAGCTTTCTCAGACTTGTCTTCTTCAGAAAGAAGAATTTGGGTTTCCTTAATTGTTCATCAGAGCCTTATCACCCAAACCTTTCATTATCTTTCTCAATTATATCTTTGAACCCTCTCCAGAACCTGTCTTTTGAGTTATGGGGACCATAACTTAATTAGATCTTTCATTTCCAGAGGATAGTCCTAGTGCTTAAAGAAGAATGAATTAGATTTCGGTCAGATATATTTCGCTGGGGGAAGGGCCCAGGGAAAAAAGAAGAAAGAAATTGGATCCTTTATATAAATAGCACATTGTATCACAAATGAGTTTTTCTTTTCCCAGTTTTTGAAACAATGGGTCTTTTTTGGGGGGGTGAATTTAATTCCTTGGAGACTGTAACCTAAAAGACCATGATTTGCATTCTTTCATGGGTACGTGGCTTCTGGATCCGGAAAGAGCGTAAGATGTGTGCCTCTGTCTAGTAAGTGGTAAAGGAAGCAGGACTGGTGACGTAGAAGCAATTAAGCACCTTATCCAGGTGTGGGATGAGTGTGTGTGTGTGGGGGGGAGGTCTCTGTGTTTCCAGCCTTTTCTGCACCAGCTTTGGTTCCAAGGGGTTCCGAGGGGTCTGTCTCACTTCTCCATAACATCATCTTACTACAAGCAGGCTTGCTTCTGTAACACTGGGTAGATTGCTTAATCCTGATCATTTGGTGTTGGTGCTCAGATTTTCATGGGGTAAAGGTATTTAACTGATCTTGGGGCAATGGATCAGAGTCACTGAGCCATTGCCGTGGCCGGGCTGCTCTGAGCACGTTACTTCCTTCCCCTGAGCTCTGGTTCCTGCCCGTCACACCCCCGGGATTCCCAGCACCAGCCCTTCTTGTTGCTCCATAGAGAGCCCAGGAGATGGAAAGCGGGGGGCTGGTTGCAGCAGCCAGTTGAAAAAAGGGTGCTCAGAGAGTGTCAACTAAAACTAGAATTCCCTCCCCTCTCCTCCCTCTTCCAAGGAAGCTGAATCTGTGGGGTATAAGGGACGGGAACGGTCATTTATTGATCACCTCCATGGCGTCGGGCAAGAGTTCGAGGCTCCTTATGGACACCCCTCCCTGGAGTAGATGTACGAGTGTCTGCCCCCACCACAACCACCCCACCCACCCCTGCCCAGAGGAGTCTACGCTCTTCAGATCCCACTCAAAATGTCACTTCCTCAGTGAAGCCTTCCCTGACCCCTCAACCTGAGTTCGATGTCCCTGTCCTATGTCCTTAGGGCTCCCTGTGCTTTCCTTTCGTTGCACTCACCACCAGCGTAATTTGTTATCTGTACCGTGATGCTTTCATGCCAGCTCGACCCAAAACTCCAGGAGCGCCGGGACCCCCTAAGTCTTGTTTTCCACAGCGTGCCTGGAAGTCTAGCACAGTGCTGGCAGAATAGTCTCAGTTCAGTAAGTATTCTGTGAGCAGACATAGCAGGAAGGCAGAACCAGTGGATGACTAGCAAAGCGGGATACAAACCCTCTAGCTCTTGGACACCTCAGATTTCAGACACTCTCCTCTGTCCTCATATGCATGTGCTCAAGGTCCTTGCTGCGGTCGCCTTCCTGTGACACGGCCCCTCCAGTAATAGGGCCTTGACTCCGGTTCTCCAGCAGGGGGAGTGATGGCGGCGCTGTCCCCAGAGCGGTCTAAAAGCGTGGGGAGATTGCAACCTAGCCTGAGGCTGGTGGTGGTGGTGGGCAGTGGGTGGGAGGAGTCACTGAGTGGAACCAAAGTAAATGTCCTTGTGGGCCTGAGCCCCACTTTCTAACGTGCTTTGCCAAGGGGCTGCAAGTAAAAAAAAAAAAAAAAAAATGCTCAGCAGGGGATCTGGGTCAGTAGGAGTGGGTGAAAAGTAAAGGGGACAAACCGAGACATGACAACCTTTAGGGAAGCAAAAATAAAATTCTAATGCAGAAACTGCTCAAAATAGATTGCACGGCTGTCAGGCTGCATGCAAATCCGGTGCTAATTACATGGAAATTAATTACAAGTCCTAATTTCCATATGCCTTGCTATGACCCTTGGTGGGTGGGGGGAGTCCTGCTGCAGGTGTCTCCCCCACACTGCTGAGGAGGCCGTGATGTCGCCTGCTTCACACTCTTGCCACGATAGTGAGAAAAGCTGATAGGAGGCTAAAAATACTAACAATAGAAATTTGATTTCTTCTTCCAGACAAAAAGCCTTGGCATCCACAGGAGGAAGAAGTGTTCAAGCAGCATGTGACTGGTTGGTATGAAATAAATAAAGAAAGAAAATAGCATATAATTAACTCCGAGTGGATGTGGATGAGCAGGGCTGTGCAGCCTTTCTCGAATGGACTGGGGTGGGGGAGGGGTGGCGGGGGGAGCCAAAAGACCATGTGAGGAGCCCGTCTAGCAAGCCAGTTGCCTCCTCTGTCCCGGCCCCAGGGTGTGTTTCTCCTTAAAGCTGTTTAAAGCAATTCAAAGCATGTCCAAGATAGAGCCCTTATCACAATATCTGCCCCTGTTGGTCACTTAAAGATACACTTTAGGGTATGTGGATGCTAGGTAAATCCATTTCAAAAAAAAAAAAAAAATTCCTACCTGCCTTGTAGGACTTCACTACCCAGGGCAGATCCCACAGGCCACACTCCTGACGCCTCCCTTCTGTTTGGGAGCATGTGGGTTTAATGGTAGGCTGAACTGAAGGGACAGCCGGGGCTGGAGCAGCCCTGGTGAGCTGGGAAGGGATTTACTACTTTATCTGGAATGACTTTAGGACTTTTGAGGGAGTTGTGGGATGTGGGTGCAGTTAGGACAGGCAAGAGCAGAGAAGTTGGTGCATCTGAGAGTGGGTCATGCAGCATGAGCTTTGAGGGATGGATTTTTAAAGCACAAAAATGAAAACCCATCCCTTGGCAATGCCTGGGGTACGGAGCATCCGGAGGGTGGAGCTGTCTCTTTTGGGTCTTCCTTCCCTTCCATTGTTCTCAAGTGAGGCCGGTTGGGCTCCCTTCTCTCTCTCTGGCAGGCTGTTCTCTCATGTCGGTGACCCCTTCCTGGATGACCCCCTGCCCCGGGAGTACGTCCTCTACCTCCGACCCACCGGCCCCTTAGCACAGAAGCTCTCCGACTTTTGGCAACAGTCGAAGCAGATCTGCGGGAAGAACAAGGCACACAACATCTTCCCCCATATCACCCTCTGCCAGTTCTTCATGGTGAGCCACAGACCCCCACCCACCCCCCCGCCCCTGCCCCAGGGAGCCCGGCTGCCATACACCCGCCAGCACCTCACCACCTGGAGTCAGAGTCTGGAGGCTCCCAGGCAGCTGGTGGAAAGGGTCACGGGCTCCTAGGCTTGGGTGGGCCAGCAGGGAATGAGTAAGGTCCATGGGTACTTTCCCTCGCTCCTCTTTCTAATACCTGCTGAGGCCCGGGAGCAGGTCTGATGTGCCATCACAAATGACTGTTGTTCCTCGGGACTCCAGGGACAAGCCCGACCCACTGAGTCAGGACTTGGACTGGCAGCCACAACAATGAAATGAATACAGTGTCCACCCTTGTCCACTGCAAGAGTAGAAATGAGAGCACTGGGAATAAGAAATGTAGTCTACAGACAGGGGGAGGTGACTTTAGCCTAATGGACAGACACTGTCCACACGTCTGTCTCACCAGATCTTTCCAGAGACGGCAAAGATACCTGTGACCTGCCACGGTTACCCCGTCCATCATCCTAGCTATCACAGAGATTACTCAATGACTAAATTAAATCCCCCTCACCGTAATAAGTATAAATAGATATCATCTACTTTGGTTCGCTGTGGAGAAGGAGTAGAACTGGTTTATCCAGGTATATTCAAGAGGAGGCAGAATGGGAGCATGTTAAGACAACATTTTCAAAAAATTATTTTGAGGTATTTTTTTTCCAGCTTTTCTCTGTCTCCTTAAGGTAAAAATGTGTTCCTAACACCTTCTTTCTTACCATTCACTCTGAAAATTAAAATGATTACCACTTCTCTTAGTCATGCCAGGATCTTTCTCAAAGAAACTCTGAGAGTTTTAGAGACACTCTTCCCCCACCCCAGTGCTCCTGAATGAAGCATCTTGTCTTCCCCTGCCAGTGTGAGGACAGCAAGGTGGACGCCCTGGGGGAAGCCCTGCAGACCACGGTCAGTCGCTGGAAATGCAAGTTCTCGGCCCCGCTGCCCCTGGAGCTCTATACCTCGTCGAACTTCATCGGCCTCTTCGTGAAGGAAGACAGTGCAGAGGTCCTCAAGAAGTTTGCCGCCGACTTTGCTGCAGAGGCTGCATCCAAAACCGGTGAGCTAACAGCCCTGGGTCCTGTGAATCAAAAAACTGGGAAGGGGAGGGATAGGAAGGGATGCAGGAGCAGGCAGGGGCCAGGAGCCAGCCAGGGGTCCTGCAGGAATGCGCAGAACATGACAAGGAACGGTGCCTTTTCCCGCAACAGCCTTCACCTCTTTGCTCCCTTGTTAAAACAGCAACTACCGTTCTGCTGAGCCTCCTGAGAGGATGTCTGGGGCCTGCCCCGACACCCAAGTTGAAGGCACACACATGGCTCTTCCACACTGAACCACAAATTCAACCTTTGTAGCTGCATCGTCTTTCCAGTTCAGAGTTAAGGAACCTTCCTCCCCCCCACCCCCCCAACCTCCCCGCCATTTGGCTGGGTCTCATGGCTCACTCTGTGAGGACCCAGGGCTGTTTTCGGGCGGTGGGGTAGCACAGAGAGCTGAGTGGAACCACTTAGTATCAAATAATAAATCCACAGAGCCAACGCCCACAACTCACTGAAACCCACGAGATGGGTCCCTTAAAGCCTCAACAGCTGGTCCAAAAATGGCACTTCTTCAAGACGTTTCTTGCTCTTTCCATGACAGGTCTTAGTTCAAGCTAACTGAGATTTCCTGTCAAGGGAATTAGCGTAGAGAGAGAGAGAGAGAGACTCGGGATATGTGTTGACTTAGAGGCAGGAGGCAGGGGAGGGGGTCAAATGGGGAGAAGTTGCCAGAGCTTTCCTGTCTGCCGACAGGTACAGACAAGCTCACTTAGGTCAAGGAGAGCCTTACCTGCAGTGGGACAGACAGACAGTGGGGTGGAGGGAGGGAAGAGTTGGCAGGGGGAGGTTTCTGTTGGCCCCCTTGAGAGAGAAACCACGCTCGTGGGTATTTATTGGGGACCACTCTGTGTTTATCTGTGAAGCGTGCCACAGAAGTGGTTTCTCCTGGCCTGGGGGACAGATTCAAGCCCCTGTGATAACAGAGCTGAGAAGAGAGAGGCCATCCCAGGGTGGAGTGGCTCCAACTTCACAGAAAAAAGAGAATGCACACTGGATGATGATGATCCCTACAATGGAGGAAGGGCCCTGCGGGGGGCAGGCAGTATGAACGCAGGCAGGAAGGGGCAGGGTGTGTGCAGAGGACTGTGTGGAGTCCGTTCAGGCCAGGGCAGAGCTGGGTGTGGGTGGTACAGCTGAATCTGAGCATCACATGCAAAGCTGGAGGAAGCCCAAAGCTGGCCAGCTCCCACTCCTCCCCCCCCCCCAGAGCTACCTCTTCTACTTGGGGAGCGGGGGCCTCCTTAGAGCCCCTCCCCAGGCACGCCTTCTTCCCAGGGACCAGGCTCTGCTTTCTGATGTCTCTGGAGCCTGCCATCTCATAGCTTAGTATTTCAGAGAAATAACATAATAGAGAGGCAAATTATTTCCTGTTCCTATCCCTCTAACTCAGGGAAATGGCTCTTTTTCATCCCACAGTAGCTATTATCAAAACCACTAAAACTGCCACAAGACCCAAAACTGGTGGTGTAGCCACAAAACCCAAATCCTTCACAAATGCGTAAAGCAGGTCTCAGCCAGGGCTGAGGCCGATTCTGAAGGCACATGACGAGCCGCAGGCAAGAGGCCCTTGCTGCCTTCCCTTGTTGGGAGGGGGAGGGCCCGCTCCTCTCCGAGATCTGTGGCCACTCTTTTGAAGAACCTGGCCAGCTGGGTTCCCTGCCCCTGTGCGGCCCCCTGGTGGTGACTGGGAGAACTGGGTGGCCCTGCCCTGTGGAGCTGGTCCAGCTCCTGGCCTCCTTGTGTGCAGAGCCGGCCATCCCATCTTGGCCCTAGAACTTAAGCCTCGGTATTCTAGAGTTTTTGACAGACCCAGATTCCTTTAGCAAGTAGATTTGGTGTCCTTTGTCCTAGGTGGTTTAAGGAGCTCCGTGCCTATAATGTGCTGTGCACTGGGGATACATTGTGAACAGGACCCAGAAAGCCCTTGCCTCATAGGGCTTACACCCGAGAAATCCACCATAATATAACAGAAAGAGACCCAACCGCTACTTCTATCTCCGTGAGACATGAGCAAACCCCTTAATTTCTCAAATTCCCTACGTCCCCTCTGGTTGAATCTTCTGCAGTGTCCTAGCTTAGACAGTAGATGGATCTCCCCCATGCAGAGATGTACAAAAGAGAAATAAAATCCATTGCCTTGGGTAGGTAGGTTGGTTGGTCTTTTTATTTATGGGGTCTTAGAATAATAGTCTGGATACTTTAAGCCAGTGGTTTTCAATCAGGGAGACTTTATCCCCCAGGGGCCGTGTGGCAATGTCTGGAGTCATTTTTGGTTACCACAACGCAGGGGGTGCTACAGAATCTAGTGGGTAGGGGCCAGGGATGCAGCTAAAGACCCCACAGTGCACAGGACAGCCCCCACAACAAAGAATTGTTCTGCCCAAATACTGCTGGGAAACCCTGCTGTAAACTCTGAAAATATTCCATCTTTTCCTCTGGTCCTGGTTCCTCCATCAGAGCCGCCCAGAAGCTAAGAGACTTGATCTCAACATGAAGGTGCTCTAGCTCTGGCACCCACGTAATGACAAAATGTCTTTATTTCTACATAAATTAGCTCATCCTTTTATGTCTCGGTTTCGTCATCTGAATGGTGGGCTGTTGATAATCTGTGTGTTATGAGGAAAAGCTGACCCAAATGATGACCTCTCAGCTGATCCACAGTTCCTGGAGAACAACCAGATGAGTGGCTCTTAACCTCTTAGATTGTAGGTTGATTCAGGATCTTTTTGCGCTCTCCTCTCCCCTTAGTCCGCTGCTGCCAAGGAGGGAAATGGGTTTCGTCTGGCCGAGGGACTCCCTCCTCTGTCACTGGGGAGGCAGAATTCCTCCACCATTGCTATGATGACCACTTTCTGATAACGGTTTCCTTCCTTTTTCCAGAAGTCCATGTGGAACCTCATAAGAAGCAGCTGCATGTCACCCTGGCTTACCACTTCCAAGCCAGCCACTTACCCACCCTGGAGAAACTAGCCCAGAACATTGATGTCAAACTAGGCTGCGACTGGGTGGCCACCATATTCTCGCGAGATATCCGGTTCGCGAACCATGAGGTAATGTCTCCCTGTGGCTCCTGACCCTACCAGAGGAGCAGCGGTGCAGTCAGAATCGGGAGCACTTGCAGCTCACTGCTGCAGGGAGATGGGTACCAAAGGAAAGCAGTGAAGTGAGCACCTGACCAGGAGTCAGTTGGCCCACAGTTTTTTCCAGTCTCTGATTGACTCCCTGGGAAGCTTGGAGCTTGCACCCCTCCTCCCTGGGTCCCAAGTGACTCATCTGTGTGCTGTCCCCATTGTTCTGTCCAACCTTACTGGGCTGATACAGAAATGACATGGGAGGATAGAAAAGTGTGCTGGAGACATTTTAATTCTGTAAGTTCATGGTGTTCGTAAAAGACCTCATCCAGACCTTAGGTAAGGAGGAGAACACAGAAATACCAAAAAAAAAAAAAAATCTGTGAACATATAATTAACAGATATTTGCTAAGTATCGATGGCATGTAAGTTACCATGGAACATACTAGAATTGTCCCTCGAGGAGTTTGAGTCCAGCGGCGGTGGTGGGGGGGGGGGAGGAGGAAGACACACAACCCATAAACAGAGACCACGTGTTGTGACAGTTTGTGTGCATCCCCTGGGGGAGGGGGGAGGGGGACAGTTGCCTCCCAGGGCACGGTGGAAAGGTTGGCATAACCCCAGCATCCTTCTTTTGAGGGAGTGGGTATTGATTTCCGGGACAAGCCTGTGCCACTCTGAAGAGTAATATTCAGAGAAGCTGAGATCCAAAGAGAAAAGCTGGCTGATCCAAAGCTAACTAGCAATTTAGGACCAGAGCTGAAGCCAGAACCCAGGGATCCTGACCAATAAAGACAAGCAACCAAAAAAAAAAAAAAAAAAAAAAAGGCCACATAGTTTGATGAAAAATTTGTCATTCGATTTAACTACATTTATAAAACTCTATTTGTTTCCCAATTTTTCATACAGCAAAAGGACTGGTATTTTTGTCAGTTTACCTAGCTTTTTTTAACCTGTTAGACTTTTTTTTTTTTTTTCCCCATATGAAAAACAGTTAGGATCTCAGGGTCTAGACCAGCATTCTCATCACTGTTTTGGAAGTGTTGACAAGAGCTGACCCATGAACCAAAGGTGAGGGCCTGGGCATGGGGTCTGTGACTCTCAGGGACATGCAGCTTTGTCCGATGCTGCTGACAGGAATGTCGTGTCCTCCTCCCAAGTCATTTGATGGAAGTTTCTGGAAAGACACAAGGAGGCTGGACTTGATCTTACTTAAGAATTCTGACAGCTCCTGGAATTGCGCAGGATGAGCCCTAAATATAACAAGGGAGGTGTGGCTGACTGGGCTCCTTACAAGGACAAAGAAAAAAAAGTCAAGGGTTGCATGCAGCTGGACTGAGAGAAGTCACCTTTCTAGAGGAAGGAAGGTGGCAATGGAATTTTACAAGGAATATCTTCTAATCAACACTGCCCTCCAGTTAACTCAAAGGGTAATTGCTTTTCTGCCTGACCCACATTCTGCTCAATTGGCACTGAGGGAAAAAGGCAGCAAGCACCCACGTGAAGTATTTTCTAAAAATAACTTGGCCTCTTTTATCTCTTATTTGTAAAAGCTCATTTATTACTGTTCCTGCTGATAGAGCTCACTCTCAGAGGTCATTTGGCTTTACCTGAGCCCCCCTGCATAGAAACACCCTTTCTTGCCTGCCTTCGTCTGTCCCCAGGAGGCAGGTTTGATTGATGGTACCAGGGAGGCAACAGATGTCCAGAGAAGCAGAGTGGTTTGGACAAGGGCACTCAGCAAGCCAAGCATAGGAAAGCATCTAAGGCTCATCCCTCGGCTGGCTCCCACTTTGATTTGGATTTGCAAATTCCTAGTTGTACGTTCCGTAGTCGTCCGTGTTAGTGATTACGTGAGGCCACGCCAGGTCTGTGTGCCAAGCGATAGAAATCTGAGGAAGGACAGCATTATACACAAAGCACGTGTGGCTCCAGATCCTTCGGCGGTCCCTAGGGTCACATCTACTGCTTCTAGAACATTCCAGTCCTTAGTTGTCTCATGCATACATTGGCGATAGTATTTTGCTGGACTGTTGCTGTTGTGTGGACTCCATAAGAAGATAATGGAAAGGTCCGGATACACAGCACGGCATGCATGCAGCGACAAAATGTGGTTACAAGGAGGGCAAGGAGCTTCGAAGGCCATGAGGTTAGGTTCCTACAATCACGTAGGGCTGCAGCTGCCCGCCCCCCATACGAACGGAGAAAAAATATCTTTGAGGTAGACTCAACAATTCTTACAGGTAAATGCTAAGCATAAAAGAGTAAGTATAATGCCGTGCAAAACTAGGCACGTGTCCTGCTAGCTCTCAAATGTAGGCTGACTTTTTGCATGTGCTTTTGGTGAGCGGAATGGGCTACACCGGTTATATTTTTAGATTTGCTGCAATGTCTTATTTTATTGGGTATTCAGTAAATCAAAGTTCCTCGTTGTCTTAACTACCCTCTGCTTAGGACGCATGGTCTCCTATGCACCTTTGCTGTGCCTCAGTTTCCCTGGAGGTAACCTGGAGATAGAATACTGCCCCCCCCACCCCAACCAAGTGAGAGGAGGACTGAGTTCTCGTCTGAAGTCACTTCCCTTGAGTTTCTCAAAGAAAAGACACTTCTAGGCCAAAGGCATAATTAGTCAAAACTATGCTATGCTTGAGTATCTAAGAGACAGGAGTTTCGACTTGTTCCCCCATGATTTGGTGCCTCTCACCACCCTGTTCTAGGAAAAAGAGTATTGCTTTCTGTGCATCATCACATATCTAGCTTAGAGAGGTGTTTTGTTTTGTTTTGCTTTTTAAGCCGTTTTCACAGCCCAGCAGAGAACCTCCCTGGCTAGTTTGGAATGGTGGCTTGAGCACGAACGTGGCAGAGGACAGGGGAAGCAGTGGGAGGCGAACAGGGGCAGAGATCTAGAGCTGAAAGATACCGGAGAGTAGGAGAAGAAGTGGGCATCTGAGTGACAGGGGAATCACAATCCAGTGGTACAACGGAGTTCTGTGTGCTCTCACTTCCATCCTCTGAGGGGGAAAAAAAAAAAAAAATCCACCTTCTTGCCAATGCCTGTCCTTAGAGAATTCCAGGAGGAAATTCTTTATACCGTGTTCTGATGGGTCTCCTTGACAGACACCGGCGAGCTGGTTCGCTCACAAGCACACAGTCCAGGGGTCAGGCTAGAAGGAAAATCAGGCGTCATGGTTCAAGAGACGTAATTATGCGCCTTCTGTGCACAGGCTCTGTCCTAAAGAGTTTTCTTAGGTTGTCTCAGTAACTTTTACAGTCCAGACATTATTTTACAGGTGAGAAAAGGGGGGCCAAATAAGGTTAAAAACTTGAAAGTGCAACCAGGATAGCCCACCACTAATGACTTCAGGACTGTGGGAAAGACAAAGTATCTCCATCTTTTTGTCCTACATGAAGTAAATAGGATAGGAAATATTTCCCTTGCTACTGAGGGCCCTTGCTGTTAATGAAAAAGTAGGAAAATGTTTTCCAAAGTATCTTCATGCCGATGCTGTTTATATAGCCCGGGAAAAGAGGCAAAAAAAATCAAGTAAGTCAGCCAAGCAACATGCCCTATGGTTGGCTCTGAAGGCTCTTTCTGAGCCCAAAGAAGAAACACGCGGTCTCCATCTGTTCGCTGGTAAAAGTCGGCTACACAGATGTACACACCGATGGCTGTGAAAGATATTTTTCTTTCAAGGTCTTTGCGACAAATGCAGGTTTAAAGAAAGCCCCCTGAAGGCAGAGAGTGTCTTTTGTTTAAGCCCCTGAGTTACATATAAAGGGAAATGCATCAGTCCCAAAGCCTTCCTACAAGGAAAGTGTCTCCACCCAGACCATCTGTAACCCCCATATGGAAGACTGACTTTCCATGAGCGGGGTTTCAAGTGTCTATTACGGTACATTCCCCCACCAGATGGAGAAGGGGAAACTAGGTCCAACCCCACTGGTATAGCAGCTTAATAGAGCTTGCAGATCAATTTCTAAAAACTGTCTGAATCCTGACAGGAAGAAAGACATGCCCGAAGGAAAGTCTGGAGCCATCCAGTAGCACCAGGCACATATATCCGCAATACCCTGAAGAAAAAAAAAAAAAAGTTTTCTGATCTGAGTCCAAATCTGCTCTGAGCCTGCAGACCCCAGGGGCGCCTGTAAATGTCAACATCTGGATGTGTGCGCTGTTAAAGCAGAACACACAGACGTGCCCGGGAGGCACTCAGACTGGGTCACATGTGGGCCTCCCCCCTCCCTCTCTCCCTCTTTCAGACATTACAGGTGATCTACCCGTACACCCCACAAAATGATGACGAGCTGGAGCTGACCCCCGGGGACTTCATCTTCATGTCTCCGATGGAACAGACCAGCACCAGCGAGGGTTGGATCTATGGCACATCCTTAACCACCGGCTGCTCCGGACTCCTGCCCGAGAATTACATTACCAAGGCTGACGAGTGCAGCACCTGGATATTTCATGGGTGAGCAGACTGAGTTCTTCTCCCATTGCTTCAGGGAGAACACGGCCGCCCGGCGGGAGGTGGTGGGGAAACAGACATGAGCCTGGACACACGGGGCAGGAGCAACAGGAGAGGAGTTCGTGGGGAAGAAGGCTGTTGGTTCAGGTCATTCAGGAAAGGGCTGACTTGGGGCAGGGGAAAAATGATGGATGGATCTACTCTCCTGCTCTCTGGCTGTCCCACTTGGTGAAACCTTCTCAGTTTCTGATCAGAGACTACAGAAGGCAGCTAAAGGGACCATCTCTCCGGCTGAAGTGTGGGTCATCCCAGTGCTGAGACTTCATGGCCTTTGAGCTTCTGTACGCTTTGTCCTGGGTCATTGCTCAAGAGTGGTCTGACTCCCCAGAATAGCAGGCATGTTCCCATTATGCCAGCCAGACTGGGAGTGATGGGGTTTGCGAGGATCAGGAGACCTAACTGTTAAACTCTCAGCTTGTTGGGCAACCCTGAGCAAGTCCTCAGACTGGGCACATAAATGCCTCGATGAGAGAGACCATCTAAAGAAATGGGCAACTGCCAGAGCCTTCAAAAGACGCATGGTGGCCCTTAGTCTTCTTCAGAGTGATAACTGTCCACCCATCCCTCACTCCAGTTTTGCCACCAAACCAAACTGGTCCCGTGTTCTGAGTGGCCTGTTGTCGGATGGCCAGCTTTGTCTGGATGGAGAAAATAGAACGAGAGGCACCTTCTCTTTTTTAATCGGAGCAGCTCGAAGCCAGCCCTTCCCCAGCGTACTCGGGCATCTCGCCAGGGTGCGCACGCTGGCTCGTCTCTCCCTCTTGCCAGGTACCAACGTGGCTGCGAGCTGGACGCTCTGAGCACCAGCTGTGTGGGGTGTTGAACATTGTTATTACTGCCATAAAAGAGAAGAAGAGAGGGGCAATTTCAGCGAGTGTTTTGCCTGGAGGGAGAAAAGAAGACTCTCTACCCCAGTTAGCAGCAAGCAGACAAACCACAAACCCAGAGATGGGAAAGAACATCTTCTTCCTGAATGATCCCCTACCCCACCATTCCTTCCTCTTCCTTGCAGCCCACCCCCCACCCCCACCCTGCCCAGGAGCATTTTGTGACACAATTGGGAGGTCAGAGCTGCCTCATGGTCCCCAAACATTTGCTTTTTCCCAGAAATCTGAGTTGAATGTCCAGAGTCACCATGTCATCCCTACAAAAACAAGTGAAGCATAATGCATGTGAATACACGGAGGTCTAAGATGTTTTGTCTGATGATGCACAGTGCCCACTTTTTTTCAAAGCCAGGCTATACATGGGAGAAAAGTCTGTGTGAGAAGCCCTGGGGATCCATTTTGGATCAGTGTTTCCAGATCCACTCCCATTCAAATTAGAGCCTGGACCGAAACATGGTGACACCGGTTCATGGATCACAGGGAGGTTTGCGGGTCCTCTCCTTTTATTTGGAGAGATTACTAGCGAGATCACCCTGGGAACCATGTCTGAGGTTAAACGCTCAACTGCCAGAGCCAAGGCTGCTCAGAAACTAACAGTAGGTGTTAGGACGCCATAATCAAGAATTGAGTGTTTGTTCCAGTAGTCTTGGGTTCCATTCCTAGCGCTCCCACTCAAAAGCTGTGTGACCTTGGCCAAGTTACATTACCTCTCTGAGCCCCTGTTTGTTAATCTATAAGATGGCGATAAGAATTGCATTTACCTCACAGGGGTGTTAAGAAGACAGCAAGAAAGGACTTGACTTTACATTGATCAGTCAGTGCCACATATATAACAACCCTGAATCTAAAAAGCCATCAGCTTTGTGATTTTTTTGTCTTTTCTTTCCAATTTGTGTTTCCCAGTCCTCTCCTACATGCTTGTCAAATCAAATGTCTCTTCCACAGAGGTGATCCTATAGAAGCACCGCACTTTCCTATTTAACCCCAGAAGCAGAAATGACTTAAGGACTGATCTTAAGACAGGTCGTCTCTCCCTCCCCTAACCAAAGTTGGCCTCGAGGGGTTAGAGCCCCAAAAGGTGCTCCAAAATGACCCGGTTGCCTTAATGGGAAGCTGCAGAGGGGATCCAAGCAATAGGGGTCAGTTACCCTTCACAGCCCTTTCTTGCTGCCCTGTTCTTCTCAATTCTAAGTCCCTTCTAAGGAGATCTTTTCCTACCACCCTTGTACTAGGGCATCTTGCCCAGTTCTAAGTGGCTCTAGATACTTGTCAGTTGGTGAAGCCCCATCATGTCCTTTGAATTGCAGGTGGGGGGGCTGGCTGGTCCTTCTGGGCTTTACCCATAGGACTGATGTATCCTAGGAAGGTGCCAGCATCCCCCCCCCCCCAGTACTTGAAAAGATGTCCTGGGTATCAGGCTTCAGCTTCCTCCCTCCCTACTCTCAACATAAAGCATCTGACTGTTGTCTTACTGGAACCGACAGCACCAAACTATCTCAGAATGAGTCAGGTCCTTTGATTAAAATGACAGTTAAGGGAAGGAGGTTGGCATTCTTCTTGCCAATGGATCTGAAGGAGAGAGAGGAGAGGGAGTCTGCCAGTGTCTTCACAGCTCTAACAAAGGAAAGAAATTAAGGGACGTGTACAAGCCAAATATCAAAGACAATTCCATCTATCCAGACATTTCAGGCCCCAAAGCTTTGATGAATCAGACAGTGGAACGAATTTTCTTTAACGGTGATGTTTGCAAAGGAGAGCACCTGCCTATCAGACTGGGAACGGCACTAGATTTTCTTTGTCTACGGTTGCTTAATTTTTTCACTAGGTCCCTTGGGCTGCACATCACGCTTAGCTGATGCCGCTCTATTGGGCTGCAGCTTCCCGGGCCCCAGCCCAGATCTGCTGAATCACAATCTGTGACCAGTCGTGCCCAACGTGTATTTTCTAAAGCTCCCCTGGTGGTTCTGAGAGGCACAAGGGCTGACATGTCACTTTTTCAGGGTAGGAGGCTTCTGAAACCTTTGTGTGGAAGGAGGGATGAGTCTATGTACAGACACAAAGGGGAGTACTTCAGAGAGTGGACGGAGTCCTAAAATTACTAAAAAGCATAGCATTTACAAAACGGTTTGCCTCACAACCAGTCAGCTTTATTATATGACTGAATATAAAAAGTTCTTTCCCAAGATGAATTTCGAAGACTACAACTGTGTTAACACTTAATATTCCTGAACAGATGAGGTCAACAGGTACGAACCAAGACTGCTGAGCAGACTCAAATGAACAGCTACCATCGTTATAAAGAAGCAAGAAATCTAAAATTTAAATGCTCTCCCTTGAACACTGCTTGGTGAGGCAGAGGAGATGTTCATTGGATTTGCCTCACAACCGTACTTACATGGCAAATGTTTATTAGATAAAGCCTTTTGGAGGCCTCGCTAATCAAAATAATTTAAACATGGCCTGATTTGCTGCCCCCTGTCAGTGAGACCTCTTTGGGGCTTCTGTAGTTAGTGTTACACCCCGAAGTGAGAGGTCTTGGCTCACAGCTCTATACATCTGCTGAGAATGGCCTCCTCTGAAATAATCCTGTATTTAATCATCTTGTGGGTGGGAGGTATTATTAAGATGGGGCGAGCAGGGGGCTGGCGGGGGGAGGAAGAAGGTGGAATGGGGAGAGAATGGTCATAAGCCTTCCTTGATCATTAGACAAAGTGGCCGAGATAGTAAAAATCCTCCCTCCAACTTGTCAGTTTGGATGGAAATCACCATGGAAAAGATTAAAGGCAACAGGAATTGTGGGGTTTTTTTTCTTTTGAGCCAGAAAAGTAGCTGGAAACAATGGTACAAAATTGACAACTCATTATTCTTTAGCATGCCTTGGCACCAAGCATGCCTGCCTGTGGCATCCTAAAATCAGGGCCCCATCCTTGCCTGGAGAGACGAACGCATCTGTTCCAAGTACAGAAATCCATCCACCCCTAATTTAGTAACTGCAAGACTTCAGTATAAAATAAGGTGTTCCTCTCCAGAAATGGGGTGCGCATCATTGAGCCCAATGGTGACATGCTGATGAATTCTGGCCAAACCAGTTACTGTCTTCTTTATCTTCTCCTGCAGTTCTTACTCGATCTTAAACACATCATCTTCTAACCCACTCTCATTTGGTGATGGTGTACTGGAGAGGCGGCAGTATGAGGACCAGGGCCTGGGGGAGACGGCGCCCCTGACTATCATCTGCCAGCCCACACAGGTAACACTGACCTGTGGGGTCACCTCCTCAACTCTACTCAGGATTCACTGGGTACTTATTTGCTAAGTGGGAGGGCTTGCCCTTGCTGCCCCAAAGAGTTCCCGACCTCTCAGAGAGAAAGGGCACAAAATTATAAAAGATACACAGAAATGTCAGGCTAGGAAGAGTCACGTGGATGGAACAGACAGCATCTACCGCACCTGGGTCTAGTCTGGTAGAGAAGGTGGCTCTGCAAACATGTTATCTGTAAAGTCATAAGAGTTCTATCTATTTCAGAGGCCACTGTGACATTGAAGAAAATAAGAAGGCTCTTAGCCCAGTGCCTGGCCCATGGTGAGTGCTCACGTATGTCTGAGTGCTCAATATATGCCAGGAATGGGGGTGGGGATTCTTCTGAACAATAGAGACAAAGGCAAGTTGAGGATCAAAAGACTAGATCACATTGGCTGGAGCCCAGGCTTGAGTTAGGGAAGAGTAGCAGAAGAAACAGGAGAGATCATGGCACTATCCCACATATTAACCCTGTCAGGGCAACTAACTGGCAGCAAACGTAAAGTGCTGGCCACACTAGGGAAGCTAGGAATAGCCAACGATCAACAAGAAGGAACACAGAAACATCTGTAAGGATCCACCCAGCAGTTACAGAACCTGAAGTCATTTGCACGTGCCTTTGACTAGACTTGCCTGTTTCATCACTCCGAGGGGGAACCTGTCCCCCCTGAACCATTTCTGGGAACACCAGCACACGTGTAAGTGAGACAACAGAGCCAAAGTTGTGATCAGAGGAGCCCAAGCTGGGGAGACTCTCTGTCCAGCCATATGGCCTCACCACCACATGTTAGAGGTGAGGCGGACACTTTTGTGAGAAAAGTCCTCGCTCCCTGAAGTTGTGGATCAAGTATCCCTTTGGGGGAGGACTGGATGGCCAGCCTGACCTACTGGCTAGCTCTCCCTCGGAGCCGTAACTCAAGTGGTCTTCACGTTTTAGCACGGGCCAAATGCTACTCCTACGAACGACCCCAGGACAGCACTGGTGTGCGCCAGTCTTTGCAACCCTTTGATTTGATAAACCACCTGCAATTCATGTCATCTGAGCCTCAAAACAACTTGTGAGGTCTATAGGAGGAGTCTTACTGCTCCCATCGTACATAGAGGCCTATGTAAATCCCAGGTAGTTCCAGGACCCGTCCAAGTCCTATGCTGGCTTAACTTGTTCTAGAGCTCAGCTCTGCTCCTGGCTCTGGGATGTGTTCACTTTCTTCTGTGCTTCCCCCACTAACAGTCTTTCTCTCTCTACAGCCTCTGAGGGTCAAGAGCCAGCCCGGCCCTCAAAAGAGATGTCTCTTTGTGTGTCGGCATGCTGAGAGGATGGATGTTGTGTTTGGAAAGTACTGGCTGTCCCAGTGCTTTGATGCCAAAGGTGAGGGGTTGGTTGACCTGCTTGACATTGGCATACCTATCGTGGCCTCTAGGGGGCAGAGTCACGCTACATTTGTCCAGATGGGGTCCTTTAGGGTTGTTCTGCCTATAATCTGTTACAACGTAAGTCCTTCCTGATGGTCTTGAGTGTTAGGGAAGGGGTTAAGTGTTCTTGTCCCCATTCTATAAACTGGGACACCAGAGGCCAAAGAAGGCAAACGTCTTGCCCATGGTCATTTGGCAGAGGCAGAGACAGGTGTCCTGATTCTGTGGCCAGAATTCCCTCCATTACATCACATTGCCTTATGTTGGTTCCCTTTTCATTTGAGTGGCGCGCCTAAGGTTAAGAGGCTTGCATAACATACAATCCTCCTGCTCTAGAGTGTGTGGTTGTTACTGCCACTTAAAAACAATCTCTTGTCACTTGTCAACAGAATGCAGGAGTGGATGCCAAGACTCTACCAGAGGAAAAGTGTCCGCTTCAGTGTTTTCTAGAAAGTTCAATTCCATTTCTTTGGCCCAAAAGGAATGGAAATGGGGGGCTGTGAAGATCAGCAACAGAAGTCCTAAGGAAAACAGAAAGTCATCCTTTGTCTGACTTTTTTTTTTTTTTCAGGCCGCTACATACGCACCAACCTGAACATGCCTCATAGCTTACCTCAGCGGAGCGGTGGTTTCCGGGATTATGAAAAAGATGCTCCGATCACCGTGTTTGGATGTATGCAAGCAAGACTGGTGGGTAAGTGTCCTGGAGTGATTGCACAGCCTTTCCTGGCTACTTCTTCCAAAGACTGGTTCCAGTGGGCATGCCAGGACTGTTTCTACGGTTTTCTACAACTTTCCTACAAGTAATTTATTTCCCCAATTCAAAAGGGGATTTATTACGCAACCATGAAGTTCAGAACACTGTGCTTGGCACTGGGCTGGTTTACCAAAGTGAATGAGGTGTGATCCCTTGAGGGCTGTATGACCCAGTGATGGGGTAAGGTCAGCTTCTAGCGCAGGGGTACGGAGGAGAGAAGCCTGGAGTGGCTGGGTGTAGAGAGGCCGACTGGATCCTTTGAAGATGGTCAGCTCTTTGCAGGTCTATTCCATACCTGCCAGGCAGAGACAGCAGCCTTGTCCTGTTCAATCATGTCACACATTCACTGATCACTTACTTTGTGCAGGGTCCTATGCTAGGTGTTGGGGATCCAAGCGAGAGCCCCCACCCTTAGGGAAACAAACTTTTAAGTGGATAAATATCATACATCCTGAGTATGCTCAAGAATAAAACTGTGTACAGAGAATTAGGAGAGCATTAAAAAAAAAAAAAAAAAAACCACACAGAAGAGGGGAGGAGAAGTCACCTGGCCAGAGAAGGAGCAGGAGGGTAGGAAGTGTATGCCCGGTGGGGAGAACAACATAAAGTCATAGGCGTGAGAAATAACATCGAAAGTACTTAGAAAAAAAGCTCTCTTTTTCTAGAACACGGCTTGTGAGCCACACGTGATACGGCTGGTGAGCTGGATAAAGACGAGTTCACAGAAGACCTTGCCCCTCCATATTAAGGTGTTTAGACTTTATCCAGTAGAAAAAAGAAGTGTGTTCCACGAGGAAAGTGTTAAAGTATCGGGTGTTGGGATTTACCTCTAAGAATACGACAGGCTGAGATCTTGTTTAGCGCAGGATAAAAGTAAAAACAAGATCTCATTGGCACCGTAAACTATCTCATTTATATCGCAAGTGTGAAATCAGAGCATTCTCGTGTTTCTGGATCTCTCCTAGATGGATATTTTCCTGCCTGTCAGCACCAGAGAGAAGGAACAAAAAACACAAGAGGGGGTCTTCCATATGGGCTCTTTCATGGAAACACTGATGAGGGGAAGCTAAAAACGCCAGCTCTCTGTGAGCCCCCACTGACAAGGGGGTTTGCAGGGTCTGCCTGCTGCCCGCTCCCACAATGAGCTCCAGCAAACCAATTCTTTTTTGCCTTCCTTTGCAGGGGAAGCCTTATTGGAGAGCAACACCATTATTGACCACGTCTATTGCTCCCCCTCCCTGCGCTGCGTTCAGACTGCATACAACATCTTGAAAGGTTAGACTGGATAAAGGTCAATGAGTCCATCCTTCTGCCTGTAGACAGCCCTACACCTAGGTTATCCTAGACTTGTGGGACATTTAGCCAATGGAAAGCTTCAAATGTGGAATTCTTAGCCATGATTCTTTTGGAAGATGTCTTTGCAAGCGTCCCCAAATCATACTGTGGCGGCATTAAATGACATGAAAGGAGGTATACAGATCATTTTTTGCTTGAAAATGTAAAGCCCTCTTGGATGAATGGTAGGCTTGTGAAATACCGTTGTCTGGCAATAATTTGGAGCCTACAGAGTGTGATCCCTTTTTTTTGCAGTGAAACAGTGAAATCATTTCCTCCCACTCTGCTCTGTTTTTGCTTCTTGTTTATAGTAGCAACGGTGCTCCTGAGTATCTACAAATCTTAACCATCCCTGTTTCTGCAGTTAATTGGATGGCTTTGAAAGGACCATTGCTATAAAGATACTCAACTTTCACCCTAAAATCTGGGGAAGCTTGAGTTACAGGGATCTCCATTCTCATTTCACTGGAAGGAAAACTAGTAGAAACAGAGTGGAACTATTCACTTCTACCAAACAAATGAATGAGCCAGAAATAGCCAAGCCAATGAAGAATGGACACTACCTTTGAGGCTTCTATTCCTTAAGTCAGCCAGAATGCATTTATATATTAAAATTCTTTATGTTGCCGTTAGCCCAGTTTTTTAATATATAAAGAAAGTTAAACAGGGACAAGTCCTACTCTGAGGGTAATTATACTTTGAGAAAGCACAGGACTTGGAAATACTCAAAACTGGATTTTCTGGTAGAGAAAATGAATAATTTACATGATAGTCAAATACAGTATAAGCTATTGTAGAGCAGTGGATGCTAAGAGAGTTTCTGAGGTTTCTTAGCAAGGCCATCTTGGGACTTCCCTTAGAAAAAGCCATTCTAGTGGTCACAGAAGTACATAGGTGATATGGGTAGTGACTTGTGTTCCTTTCCTTAAGTCAAAGACCACGTAAAGCCAGCACACATCCTGTTGGTGGGGCCACTGTATCAAACTCATATGTTTGTCACACATGGAAATTAAAAAACCCCTTGACCAAACCCACGTGCTTCCACCTTCTTTTAGCTATATGTGGCAACTGGTAGAAAAGAGAATAGATTTACCAGAATATGTATGGCAATTCCTTCATCTTCATTTTATTTCACATCTAAGGTTTACAACAAGAAAACCACTTGAAGATTCGTGTAGAGCCTGGCTTATTTGAGTGGACGAAATGGGTTGCTGGGAACACATTACCTGCGTGGATACCTCCATCAGAGTTAGCTGCCGCCAACCTGAGTGTTGATACAACCTACAGGTAACCCTCTGAGCTGCTACCTCCCAGAGTCAGTGTGGGTGTACTTTTCTATACCAGGTCAGGCCAACTATGGAGATGAAGGACCCGGCAGAGCCCATGGGCAGGTGTCCATAGTGGTGGGAGTCAAGTTACAATTTGAAAAACCACAACCGGAGAAAGCTAGCATCCCCTCGTACTTAGCACGAGTATGGACACACATTGGGCTTTCCTGACTTCATTAGATCTCTTTCAGTGAATGACAAAACCACTTTGCATTCCAGGATTGTGCACCAGCTAAGGATGATGCAGTTCCAGAAGCTTGTTGGGGGTTAAGGGAAATGACAGGGTCTTGCCTTGGACTGTCATTTTTCAAAGATTTTTAATTCTCTTTATCTTCATTTATTATTGCTGTAACCCCAGAATAAAGGCGAGCCACTTTAGGAAAGCCTCTTGTACTCTCTTATATATGAAAGTCATTCACTTAGTGACCACACATAACAATGATGGCAACAACGACTAAGCTCTATTGATCATTGTCTGCATGTCAAGCACTGTGTAATCTAATCTGCTTTACCATCTCCCCATTCCTAGTTCTTGGCTTTTTTCATGAGACCAGACTGTGCTGGGAGTAAAAAGAAGTGTTTAGAGATTGATCACAAACGAATAATCCACATGGAAGCAATTAATGTAACTATATTATTATTGGTGAATTCTTAACTCTCAAAACTGTACTCGGGCGTTTGTAAAATGTCCCTCAGAAGGGATATTCATGCCCATTATAGAGGGGAATTAAGTTCATATTTCTTAAGGCAGAATTTGGAGCAAGTGACCAATATAAATAGCAGTTTCCTCCTTGTGATATCCTGTGACCTTTCATTTCAAATACCTACCCAAACCACAAATGAAGCAATGTGAGCTTCTGGCGAGGATAGTAGAAAATATCTTTTTTCCATATTCATTTTCCTCTTCTGTAAATAAAACTTCGGATGACCCCATAAATTAATGTGTGCTACTTACTTAAAGGAATTAGCATGCCTCAAAAATAAAACAATCTATCAGATCCCCTACTAATAATTCAATCGAGCCTTGAACAACATAGAGGGTGAGGGGTGCTGACCCCCACACAAATTCACATATAACTTTAGATTTCCCAAAGCTCAACTACTAATAGTCTACTGTTGACCAGAATTCTTACTGATAACATAGTCAACACATACTTTGTAATCTAACCAAAGAGGCAAAGAATGTATACTCAGAAAACTATAAAATACTCATGAAAGAAATTGAGAAAGACACAAAGAAATGGAAAAACATTCCATGCTCATGGATTGGAAGAACAAATATTGTGAAGATGTCAAAGCTACCTAGAGCAATCTACACATTCAATGCAATCCCCATCAAAATACCATCCACTTTTTTCAAAGAAATGGAACAAATCATCCTAAAATTTGTGTGGAACCAGAAAAGACCTCAAATAGCCGGAGGAATGTTGAAAAAGAAAAGCAAAGCTGGCGGCATCACAATTCCGGACTTCAAGCTCTGTTACAAAGCTGTCATCAAGACAGTATGGTACTGGCACAAAAACAGACACACAGATCAACGGAACAGAATTGAGAGCCCAGAAATGGACCCTCAACTCTGTGGTCAACTAATCTTCAACAAAGCAGGAAAGAATGTCCAATGGAAAAAAGACAGTCTCTTCAACAAATGATGTTGGGAAAATTGGACAGCCACATGCAGAAGAATGAAACTGGACCATTTCCTTACACCACACACAAAAATAGACTCCAAATGGTTGAAAGACCTAAATGTGAGACAGGAGTCCATCAACATCCTAAAGGAGAACACAGGCAGCAACCTCTTCGACCTCAGCCTCAGCAACTTCTTCCTAGGAACATCACCAAAGGCAAGGGAAGCAAGGGCAAAAATGAACTATTGGGACCTCATCCAGATAAAAAGCTTTTGCACAGCAAAGGATATAGTCAACAAAACCAAAAGACGACTGACAGAATGGGAGAAGATATTTGCAAATGACATATCAGATAAAGGGCCAGTATCCAAAATCTATAAAGAACTTATCAAACTCAACACCCAAAGAACAAATGATCCAATCAAGAAATGGGCAGAAGACATGAACAGACATTTTTCCAAAGAAGACATCCAAATGGCCAACAGACACATGAAAAAGTGCTCAACATCGCTCGGCATCAGGGAAATCCAAATCAAAACCTCAATGAGATATCACCTCGTACCAGTCAGAATGGCTAAAATGAACAAATCAGGAAACGACAGATGTTGGCGGGGATGCGGAGAAAGGGGAACCCTCCGACACTGTTGGTGGGAATGCAAGCTGGTGCAACCACTCTGGAAAACAGTATGGAGGTTCCTCAAACAGTTGAAAATAGAGCTACCATACGATCCAGCAATTGCACTACTGGGTATTTACCCCAAAGATACAAATGTAGGGACCCAAAGGGGTACGTGCACCCCAATGTTTATAGCAGCAATGTCGACAATAGCCAAACTGTGGAAAGAGTCAAGATGTCCATCAACAGATGAATGGATAAAGAAGATGTCATGTGTATGTACACACACACACACACACACACACACACACACACAATGGAATATTATGCAGCCATCAAAAAGAATGAAATCTTGCCATTTGCAACAACGTGGATGGAACTGGAGGGTATTATGCTGAGCGAAATCAGTCAATCAGAGAAAGACATGTATCCTATGACCTCACTGATATGAGGAATTCTTAATTTCAGGAAACAAACTGAGGGTTACTGGAGTGGTGGGGGTGGGAGGGATGGGGTGGCTGGGTGATAGACATTGGGGAGGGTATGTGCTATGGTGAGCGCTGTGAATTGTGCAAGACTGTTGAATCACAGATCTGTACCTCGGAAGCAAATAATACATTATATGTTAAAAAAACAAAAGAAGAAGAAAAAGATAGGAGCGGAAGAATGAAGGGGCGAGATTGGAGGGGGAGAAAAACCATGAAAGATGATGGACTCCAAAAAACAAACTGAGGGTTCTAGAGGGGAGGGGGGTGGGGGGATGGGTTAGCCTGGTGATGGGTATTAAAGAGGGCACGTTCTGCGTGGAGCACTGGGTGTTATGCACAAACAATGAATCGTGGAACACTACATCAAACACTAATGATGTATGGTGATTAACATAATAAAAAAAACACATACTTCGTATGTTTTATGTAGTCTCTGCTGTATTCTTACAATAAAGCTAGACAACAGAAAACATAAATTTATAGTACTGTATTTATAAAAAAAAAAAAATCCACATATAAGTGGACCCACACAGTTCAAACCCATGTTGCTCAAGGCTCAACTGAACTTCACATTTTGCCCTATCTACCCTATGGCAACTGTTTTTCCATCCTTGGTGGGAAATAGCAATAAATTATTGTCCCCATGCCAATAGCCCTCATCCCTCTGGGCTGGAAAGAGGGTAAGTTATTGCCAACATTGGTGAAATGACTTTCCTGACTCACCCCCAGCACCTCCCAGCCAACCTGGGCCAACCATGTCTTCAGTTTCCCCCTTAATTGCATCCTGTTCTTCCCAAGCTCATTTACAAAGTTCTCCAGAATCATTCTGTCTGAGCCTTTCAGTGCACATGCAGACACACACAGCAACAGTAGAACAAGCAGAGGGATGAACACCAGGAACTTGGGGGCCAGGACATGGTCCTTATTCCAGATTTTTCTTTTCTTCTACAGAAAATCAAAATTCAATTCAACCGCTTCTCATACAAAGGGGAGAAAAGGATAAAGCCTCTAATTCTATAAATCGATTGTGAAAGTCAACAAAAGAGCACATGAGAGGCACAGCTCCTAGAGTTAAAGTCCCTCTGAAGTTAATTATGCCAAGTGCGCCAGATTTTTGAAGTAGTGATGCCTGAATGACTGAATAAATGTGGTGGGCAGAGGGCAAGGACTGAGAGTGTATTATACATCAAGGAAGCACCACTTAGAGAGTCCTGTCACCTTGGAACAAGAAGGAGTGAGGATGGAAGCAGGTTAAGGAAAACCAGCCTGGTGACTAATACCCAAGCGTCATCCACAGGCCCGAAGACGGAGCCCGGAGGCTGGGTGTAAAAAGCACTCCCAGTCTTAGGGCGTTGGGCCAGAAGGATCAAGGCAGAAAAAAACAAAATATACACCATTTGGATAGGGCTTCAGAACAGGGCTCTAAACAGGGGTGCTAGGGGAATGGTATGTGGATGGGGACATGAGTCTGGAGTGTTAGAGGGGCAATGAATCATACTTTATTGTGGGGCTCAAGGCAGAAGCCTGCACTATAGCCTAGGTCAAAGCGGGGTGGGGAGTAGAGTGTGTACCGGGGAGAATACTATTCCAGGGATGCTACCTGAGCACCCAGTGCCCTGAGTTCCAGGTCTAGTTGGTGGTCGGAGGCCTACCTGACTCTGAGTACAGTACATAGGTCCTGCGCTTACAGCTAGAAGCATGGTGCGTGCTGCAGACAGGGGTGAGGAAGCTTGGACTCTGGCCTACCCCCATCAGAACTAGTTCAACCATGGAAGCCTTTCATAGGTTCCGCTTCAAGGCAAGGACTGCCAAAGGCAAGAACTGACCTGGAGAAACTGGATCCCAGCATCTACCTGCTCTTCACTTCTACAAATCTCAGACTTTACGATGTGGTCTCACCATGGAAATGATTCCCTGAGCCATACAAAGTGGCCTTTTGTCACTGTGCAGGGCTCCTGGGAGACCAGGTGATGTAAGTGGTAATGGAACTGGATGAGAGGTGGGGATGGAAAAAAGAGTTTGCTCCAGAACAATGAGGTCCATCCCTAAAAGTGGTGATGCATGTCTCCCTCTATCCCCCAGGGTGTTGTGAGACTCAGAAGGTTGTTTCCTAGGACAAGTATGCTTGCTGAGGGAATGTGATTTCGATGAGCATGGGTTTCCTTCACATGGAAGGGGATGGCACGGAGAATGCCGTTCTTCCTCTCTGGACAGTAAACCTAAGGGCACAGAAGGGCAGCCTTGAGGGGGTACACTGTCAAAAGCCATCCAAAATGCCTCTGGGTTTACAGGCAGTGATCTCAGACCCAGATTCAAATCCAGGGCCTAAGAGTTGCTAATGGTGTAAGTGTAGGCAAGTCATCTCCAGCCTTTCGGAGCCTCGGTTTTGTCAACCACAAACAGGATTTGCAAAAGCGTTGCTAGGAGGGCTCTGTTCAAAGCAAACAAGTAGGACACTTCACGCAGAGCCGGACCCATGGGAACCTCTCAGTAAATCTCTGTAGTTGCAGTAGCAGCAGTAACGTATTCTGATCAAGAGGCCACGTGAATTCACTTTGAGGGCTCACAACCACCTCCATCCACCATCCACTAAACGCCAACAATGAAAGACAAAATAAGACAGGAAATATGATACAGTTGTACTCAAAAACAAGATACACTTCTCACAGACTGGCAACTCTAAGTAACAAAGGAAGATGGGAGCAGGCAGAAGTGGCTGAGATTGAAGACATGCAGCGTCACCAAGATGGGAGAGCCCTGCACTGATCATCGATCAACCTCTCATGCACCTTTGTACACTGTGCATAATTATCATTTGCACCAATAGCCTGCTCACCCCAACCATACACTGAGAGCTCCTCAAGCACAGAAACTGGGTTCTCTTCATCTCTGTGTTCCCTGAGCTTTTCCTGTTTCCAGGTGTATGGTCTGTGTTCAAAATAAGAAAGAAAAGGAAAACACTGATGAAGATTTCATAATGTCACAAATCCAGCGGACCTAATATCTGTGTTGAAAATCTACCCTTACAACTCCCCAGACTCATTTTACAAGGCCAGCATTCCCCTGATACTAAAGCCAGATAAGTAATCTATAGGAAAGAGATAAGGACTCTATAAGAAAAGAGAACTACAGACCAACATTCCTCATAAATATAGATGTAAAAATTCTCAACAAAATATTAGCGAACCAAATTCAACAGCACATTAAAAGAATCATACACTGTGATCAAATAGGATTTATCCCTTGGATGCCAGGATGGTTCAACATACAAAACTCAATATATGATATACTGCATTTGTAGAACAAAAGCCAGAAATCATATGAATATGCTCAACTCATGAAGAAAAATCATTTGACAGAATACCCCATCAATAATAAAAATGCTCAACAAATTGGTATAGAAGGAATATAGCACAACATAATAAAGGCCATGTATGACAAGCCCACAGCTAACATCAAACTCATGGTGAAAGACTGAAAGCTTTTCCTCTAAGATCAGGAACGAGGCCCACTCTTACCACTCATGTTCAACAAAGTACTGAGAGGCCTATCCAGAGCAGTCAGCCAAGAAAAAGAAATAAAAGGCACCCAAATTGGAAAGAAAGAAAGAAGTAAAAATGTCTTTGTAGATCATATGATTTTATATAGAAAATCCTAAAGACTCCACCATAAGACTGTGAGAACTACACATTCAAGTCTCTCAAACTACTGAGTTTGTTTGTGGAACCACAAACTCATTAAAGTTGCAGGATACAAAAATCAACATACAGAAATAATTTGTGTTTCTATGCACTAACGACACATCTGAAGGGGAAATAAAGCAATCCCATTTAGAATAGCATCGAAAACAAAATACTTAGGAATAAAATCAGTGAAAGAGGTGAAAGATCTGTACACCGAAATATACAAGACTGCTGAAAGAAACTGAAGAAGACACAAACAAATGGAAAGATATCCCATGTTCATGGATCAGAAGAAGAATATTAAAATGTCCATACTACCCAAAGCCATCTATAGATTAAATGCAATCCCTATCAAAATCCCTATGGTGTTTTCCACAGAAAGAGAAAAAACAATCGTAAAATTTGTATGGTACTACAAAAGATCCTAAATAGCCAAAGTAAACCTGACAAAGAACAACAAAGCTGGAAGCATCACACTTCCTGATTTCAAGCTATACTACAAATCTATGCTAATCAAAACAGTGTGGAACTGGCATAAAAATAGACACAGACCAATGGAACAGAATTGACAGCCTAGAAATAAATCCTGAAATACATGTTCAACTAACAGTTGACAAGGGAGCTGATAATACTCAGTGAGGTACGATAGTCTCTTCAGTAATGGTGTTGGGAAAATTGGATAACAGCATGCAGATACACCAGTCACAAAAATTAACTCAAGATGAATTAAAGACTTGGGGCGCCTGGGTAGCTCAGTTCTTAGGTGTCTGCCTTCGGCTCAGGTCCTGGGATCGAGCCCTGCATCGGGCTCCCTGCTCCGCGGGAAGCCTGCTTCTCCCTCCCCCACTCCCCCTGCTTGTGTTCCCTCTCTCGCTGTGTCTCTCTCTGTCAAATAAATAAATAAAATCTTTTAAAAAAAATTTTTTTAAAAGATGAATTAAAGAATGAAACATAAGAACTGAAACCATGTAAAGTGAGACTCCATCAAACTAAAGTTTTTGCAAAGCAAAAGAAACAATCCAAAAAATGAAAAAGCAACCTACAACATAGACAGGATGTCTGCAAACCATTTATCTGATGGGGGTCAGTATCTAAAACGTACAAAGAACTCCTACAACTCGATAGTAAAAAAAAAAAAAAAAAAAAAAAACCTGATGTAAAAATGGGCAGAAGAATTTAACAGATATTTTTCCAAAGACGACATACGAATGGCTAGCAAGTACAAGAAAAGATGTCAATGTCACTAGTCATCAGGAAAATGCAATTTCAAACCCCAACGAGATACCACCTCACACCTGTTAGAATGGCTGTCATCAAAAAGACAAGAGCTATCCAGCATTGGTGACAATGTAAATTGGTGCGGCCACTATGGAAAACAATATAGAGATTCCTTTAAAAATTAAAAATAGAGCTACCATATGACCCAGCAATCCCACTTCTGGGTATATAATTCAAAGGAAATGAATACAGGAGCTCGAAGAGATATCTGCACATGATATCACTCATGTGTAGAATCTAAAAAGCCAAACTCAGAGAAACAGACAGCAGAAGGGTGATTTCCAGGGACTGGGGGATGGGGAAAAATGGGGAGATGTTGGTAAAAGGACACAAACTTCAAGTTCTGGGGCTCTAATGCACAGTGTGGTGATTATTTGATAATACAGTATTGTATACTTGAAAGTTGCCAAGAGGGTCGATCTTAAATGTTCTCACCACAAAAAGGAACCAGTGATCATGTGACGTGATGGAGGTGTTAGCTTAACACTATGGTGGAAATCATCTTGTAAGAACAGGTGTACCTGACCAACACTTTCACACCTTGAAATTACACAACGTTAAGTGGCAATTCTATCCCAATAAAACTGGAAAAAACTTTAAAAATAAACAAAACCTATTCTTACAGCTTATGGTGTATGAGGCTAGAGAAGAGGGGCTTGGGAACTCTACAGAGATAAAGAAATCTAAGCTCTGCTTTGCTTCCTGTTAGCTGTGTGACCCAGTACTACTGGTCAGAAAATTAGTCAAACTGCTTATGAGTTAACCCGCAAGTGGTACCTGTACTGAGTGTTTCACGTTTCCCCTGGTCACTCCGACACCTTGCATGCACAGCCTTTATTTCTGCACATTCTGTACATTTCAACCCCACTCCCATAGAGTGGAACTACTCTTCTCTATACCTCCATCCTTTATAGGGAAATGGGTAAACAGAAATATGGAAACTCTAGAAAGGTCTTAACGTAGAAGTTTAGAATCCTATCTATTGCTTTGTCTTGGGATCAAAATGTTTTCATTGCCTTTGTTCATTTTTTCTCTTACAGACCTCACATTCCAGTCAGCAAATTAGTGGTTTCAGAATCCTATGACACTTACATTAGTAGAAGTTTCCAAGTGACAAAAGAAATAATAAGTGAGTGTAAAAGTAAAGGTAGGTGATATCATTTTTGACTCTATATTTAAATATGTGGTCATTCCTCCATCATGGTCTATAAGCTATTCAAGATGTTTCAACTTGCTTTAGCAGACTTGCTTAATAAGAGAGAGAAGTAATTCCCAACTTTCTTATAGATACTTTCATGTTAAATTTGTAATAGTCTCTCGAGTACCTAAAACGGTAGATATGCCATGGGGATATACCAGACTTAGTTACTATATGAAATCATTTAGAATTCTACGTCACAGCTATTTATCTTGCACTCTGTGAAGGAAGTTCCCTGTTACAATTTCCAGAAGTTTTATAGCATAACACTATTTTTGCCTATGATTTGATCCAGCAGCATGGATGCCCACAAAAAGCACACCTGCTACCATTAACCAAGAGCAGTGTTCTGGAAGACTCAAGTCTGTTACTGAATTTGATAAACACTGAATTCAAATATTTAATGAAACATAAGACTATTCACCATCAATTTTGAGAGAAAAAAGGGATTACAAAAGTATATGCACATTTCTACTGCTTTTTAAGTTATCTTCATAAAGCAAAAACTAGAATTATACACACCCAAATGTTAACAGTGGAGAGCCCTGGTCAGCAGTATTGTAGTACATTGCCACCTCTCAGTTAACATTGAGAAACCACTCATTTCATTTACTACTCCTGTGCTCCCCACTGTAAAGATACTCATCAGCATAGGCTATCAACCAAAAAGTATCAAGTGCTCCCAGTTCTACAGTGGCAACATTGAAAACTGTATTAGAAGAAGTAGCAGAGAGCCCTGTAGACATAGAATAGTTTTGTGTCTTGATTGTGGTGTTTACAAAGAGTCACACAGGTGATAGTGAAACCTGGTGGAATCCAAGTAAACTGTGGATTATACCAGCACCCATTTCCTGATTTTGCTAGGGTACCATAGCTAAGCAAGATATTCCCACTGGACGAGGCTGGATGCCTGGTATGTGGGACCTCCCTGGTGTGCATATGTGTATATATACTATATGCTAAACTATATACTATATACACACACACATAATGTGTATCTATGTTTGTGTATATACATATTACACGATATGTCATACATATATGATATGTAACTTTACACATTGTATATATTTACAATTGTGTGTATGTATATAATTATAACCTCCTGTGCATCTATAATTATTTTAAGATTAAAAGTTTTTTTTTTTTTTAATGATAATAGGCTGCCTTAACAATACAAAGCATTTCAAAATACTGTTTGGCCAAATTCTCTCATTCTTGAGAATGCCTGTCCCTCCCTGGAATATTTGACCTTCAGTATTTACAAAGTTTACATAGGTCTTTATAGAAATGGTCTGCCCAGGGGCACCTGGGTGGCTCAGTCGGTTAAGAGTCCCATGTTGGGCTCCACACTCAGTGGAGAATCTGAAGATTCTCTCCCCTGCCCCTCTCCACTCTCTTTCTCTCTCTCTCAAATAAATAAATCTTAAAGAAAGAAAGAAAAGAAATGGTCTTCCCAGTCCTTGCTTTTCTTCCCCCAGGAAATAACATCCTGATTGTGGCTCATGCATCTTCCCTGGAAGCGTGTACCTGCCAACTTCAGGGTCTGTCCCCTCAGAACTCCAAGGACTTTGTACAAATGGTCCGAAAGGTAATTCATATCTATATCTCAGAGGCCTGTGGTGCCAAACAGTTTTACAACAGTTCCCTGACTGGCTGAATGCTAAGTTGTTTGAAGCCTGTGTTCCCTCTGAGATGGGAAGATGCATGTATTGATTCACTCAACCAAGATGTACTGAGTGGTGCTCTGTGTAAGGTGCTTTATTAGGCCTTGTGTAAGAGAAAAAGATGTGTTTGAGCAAGTTTTAGTTTCTAAGAGTGCAAATTTAGGAAATAGCTAAGAATTCTAAGCAAATTGTCTGGATTTCCCTGAGGGGCCATGGATTGGATGAAGAGGGGTGAGTGGACCCAAACAGAGCATCTGACAGCTCAGCTAGGAGAGGGCCTGGGTGGCAGGCCAAAGGAAGCAGTGATTTAAGACGATCAGGCTGCAAGGCAAACCAGGAACAAGGCCATGAGACAAAACCCATGAGAATGACCCACACATCTGGATTCTTCCTTCTCATGTCCGTGAAAGAGGCTTTCCCATCAGCGGCCCTCCCACACACTTCCCTCCAGGCTGACTTACGTGCTTCCTGTATCTTCCCCCAGAGAACCTGATTCAAACTCAATTGCAATGCTTTTCTCATTTTTTTTAAGTTTATTTATGCATCTGTGTCTACCCATTACTCTGTAAGCTGCTTGAGGGCAGAGATTTTTGTCTTGTTTATAACTGCAGCTATGGTCCCATGCACAAAAATACGTTTAGAGATGAGATGCCATGGCTCCTGACATTAGGAAGGGTACAGCTTCAGCTTTGAATATTACAGATACCCGTGCCAAGAAGGAAAAAAAAAAAATAAGAAAAGACGAAACTGGGTGAAATATTTTTTAAAATAGCGTAATCTCTCCCGTGGTCCAAATATAATTTCTGGAATGTCTGAGCTGCAATTTTAGCTTGATTCACAATTAGGAATTAACTCTGAGCACCTTAGCTTTCTGTGTGATTGTCCTTTTTCCTCCCACACTATTATGCAGCAATCTAGAAACAATTACTTAATTACACCAGGGGAGCTCACCATTTAATGAATCTTTCTGATGAATCCCCTTGCAATATAAATACCCTTCCCTCTAATTTGTCACTTTTATCCATTTCATTTTTCTTTATTGATTTTTGGAAGAGATGCAGGGTCTACAAAGCCCCTATCAATTCCTGTGACTATTCCTGATTCCCAACGGCCACCTGAAGGTCTTTATGTGTAGGTCAAAGCGAAAGCATTAAACCTCTGTTTTCTATTTCCCCCTTCCTTTACTACTCTGACTTCAGATCCCGTACTTGGGGTTTTGTTCCTGTGAAGAACTAGGAGAAACTGGAATATGGCAGCTGACAGACCCACCTATCCTTCCTCTCACCCATGGACCAACTGGGGGCTTCAACTGGAGAGAGACCTTGCTACAAGAATAAACCGTACCAGTGAACGAGAAGAAAAGGCTCTAGAAAGCCTTTGGGAGAAGTGTCTTTCTGTGTGTTTAGTAACAGTGGCAAAGTCCGCACCACCATCTAAGCGGACACCTCAGAACAATTTAGCAGATTTCCTTTCATGCTTTAAAGCTCTGATGACGAGACTGTGGGAATGAGAAAAAGACTTGATTCAGGGATAAAATCATTCTCTCTGGATGCTTACCTAGCTAACAAGGCTTTCGAGAATTGTCTTCCTAAATCAAGGCACCTGCTACAGCAGAGGATGTGTTCTTCCTTCCGTACACGGCTAAGGAGTCGGAATGCTCTTAGAGGGAGCAGTCAGCCTGCTCTGAGGGGGAATGCAAGAGGAGGGAGTATGTCCAGAATCCAGCTGGAGAGACACACTGAGCTGCCAGTTTGGGGATAGGATTTTCTTTTTAACTCCATGTTCCAGTTAGGCAAAGCCAAGCTGAGGAATTCTTTTAAGGTTATTAGAAAACGTGCCCCTGCAGAGAGTTGTTCTTATTACACATCAGATTCTACCCTCAATATGACCCACACACCCGTGCTGCTAGCTCAAGACACCTGCTTGGATGACCCCCATCTACCCTGGTACTTATCGCCACATTTTCTCTAGAACAGCTCACTACGGCTTTCTCCTACGGCCCCTCCCCCTCGCTTCTGTCTGTGCAATGGGGAGAGCAAGCACTTTTGGATACTCAGGAGGGAGACAAATGTATTCAATTGTGGGAAGCAAAGAATTTGCAAAATATAAAGTGACCTGGAATTATCCATGTTACAGCACTTCCAAATCACCATGATTTGCTTGTCTTTGCCCCTAGAATCTAGACTGTGGTAACTGGTTAAGGATGTTGACAATTTGAAGGCATGTGTGTTCGATCCATTATTTGAGTCCACAAGAAGCTCATTCCTGTGCAATATGGATGTCTTTACAAACCATACCAAGGGTCAGGTCATTGTACACTTACAGTACCTGTCACTCATGGCAGATCATCCACCAATGCATCAGTTATACCAGGGATGTATAAAGAAGTCAGGGAACTAATTTAAAGGATGACAGTCACGATTGCTGTTTGTGCTGTCATTTTTTTATTTGTTTGTTTTTCTATAACTTAAAATATGTAGGTAGGGCTACTTAAGAAAAGGTGGGAGAGCCACGTCCTGTGGTTTCTCATCACACCTGCTTCCTGAATTCAGAGGGAGTTTTTTGAAAAGAAAAATAAATGACAATCAAACTAAATATCAGTTATCGACGTGTATTTAATTGTGTGACTAGGTGACTGTCGGCAGCAGACGATGGTCTGGTGCGGTGTAGTTCACTATGTAGACTGTGCAAATGAGATCCCAGACATGTAAAGAAACAGTGTAAAAAAATCAATATACGTTGTAGCACTGAATAATACATATAAAACCCAGTATATCAAAATAGATAGATCTATGCTCCTATTTGAAACTGGAGTTTGAGGATTCCTAAAAAGAAGAGGAAGTGAAAGGATGCTGGCTATGTATGTTAATCAGCATAGAGGATTACAGTTGTGGGGCTTTTTTAGGCCACTTAGACAAATATGTCATGAATTTTAGATTTTAAGAAACAAACTTGATTTCTTCTAGCATTGCACAAACATAGATCCAGCTCCTGGGTATAAAAACACTCTGTGCTAGGGTTCTAGAGGGGAGGGGGGCGGGGGGATGGGTTAGCCTGGTGATGGGTATTAAAGAGGGCACGTACTGCGTGGAGCGCTGGGTGTTATGCACAAACAATGAATCATGGAACACTACATCAAAAACTAATGATGTAATGTATGGTGATTAACATAACAATAAAAAAACCACTCTGTGCTGATACCATTGAGTAACAGAAATGTTTCAACCTTAAAAATGGGGGAAATATTCCCATTAAAAGAGTCTAAGAGAAAAATCACATTACGGCCGATGCGATGTCACTGCTGTTCATTCTTCTATCTGTAATGAAATGAATCTACTATTTAATCGGATCTGTAATGTTTATTAGATTCTCCACAAATTTTCATGGGCTTCCAATGTTTGGAATAATGCGTGAACACCTTACATCTAACTTCCTTGAAAACTACAGCAGTGTGTTCTGGGCAGTGTCTGTACCTGAACAGAACAGAGTTCAGGATAGGTTATCCTCTCCCTCCCTCTCAGCTATCTTGGTCCTATGATGACCGAGAGGCCAGTTTAGCTGGGCAACAATCCATTGTCCTTAGCACAATATGGACAGAGCCTTAGGCGGTCATCTATGTGAGCAGGAGGCAGAGATCTGAAATCATTTCCTGAATAATTTAGGTGGAAAACCCTAAATAAGGAGTTTATTCCTCTGCTTTCATTATCCAGATTGTTTATCAAAATGGCCTGAATGACCTGAATTCACATTAAATTCTCTTTTCACGTATTCTTTTTTTAAAAACTAAGACTCCAACGGAGAAATTCTTTGAAAATCATGTTGAATCTCTGTAATAAAAGGAATGCACAAGTGTATTACATGATTTCATTTTCATCCAAAAATTCTAAGTTGACATCACAACCTGAACCTCAGCTTGGTTCTTTTTGATCTGAGGCTGATGCTTATTAAGAACAAATGTTGGGGGCAGGGAAGAGCGGGCAGGAAGGAAGGAAGGAAGGAAAGAAGGAAGGAAGGAAGGAAGGAAGGAAGGAAGGAAGGAAGGAAGGAAGGAAGGAAGGACATCAAGGTAAGAAGAACCAAATGTTTCTTGCAGAGGGAAAAAAAAATTTTTTTAATGTAGAAAGTTGTCTCAAACGGAGATGAAATTAACTAGAGGATTTGGTCTGGGATTGAAACTCTGAAACAGTTTGCTGCTGGTACAAGTGTGTCGCATCAATCCGCTAATGCCCCAGTATTATTCATAGGTAGGACTTTGGTTTCGGTGATTTTAACATGCCATGTCTATTCCTTGTGGACTGGAATAATTGGCACATTTTAATGCACAAGCTGGGGGTCTCACTTTCCCAGGCTCTCTTCTCCATCACTGCATCGGTAGCTAGGAGCTTATTGCTTTACCGCAGTGTGGAGTTAGAATACAGTGTTTTCCATTACATTTAGATTCATAGAATCTGAATGGCTGATTAAATGGCCATCTGATGGCTGAAAGAGGGGGGTATTTTTCACCCTGTAGTGAATGGCTTGGAGGAGTTTCTACTTTTTATTTGAATTATACTTTAACCAAAGAATTATTTTAAAATAACCTTATATTTAAAAGATGATTTTGCAGAAAATAAAAAAAAAACAGTAATATCTCCTGGAGTGATCTCAGTTTGATAAATCATTGTGGATAGTTTTCTTGCATTTTAGGCTGATGTGGTCATTTTCCTGTCAGTGGTATTTGGATGCATATACATTGTCCTCCAGCTGCACTTAGCATTACCATAAATGTATCTTTTTCACTCAACTAGCTGTGTTCGTATTAAAGGAAGTCTTCTATTTCCATTACCTAGTGTCACTGGGAACTAACTGAAGAGCTGCAGTAAGAGAAGTTCCTATCTCATTGTCTTTGTGGAAAAGCGTCCCTCTGTAGCAAAAAGGGAGGCATTCCTCCGTAACCTAGGCACTCTGCAACTCCAGTGTTTAATTTGAAAGCAGTGATGAATTGCTCTTTTGAATCTACTCTGAGTAATGCGTGTGTTCGAATACAGATGAACCTCCCTTAATTTTCACAGGCAGAGTCACAACTATACTGTGTCTGCATGAACTCAGATAATGAGGCGTGGGGTTATTTGCATTTAAATTGTAGTCCTGCACATATATGAGAACTAAGAGGCGCGAGTCTAGTCGGGCTGCCTTGCAGGGGGGATGAGACTGGCCTGGGAGGGTAGGGAAAAGAGCATTTTAACATCTACTTAGGTTAATAGTCACTTTACAAAGGTGATGGGGGGATATTTTGTTCAGTGATGGCAGATGCTTTTCATGTTTAAACATAGGATTCAAATTGGATTTGCTTCTCTTTAACACTTCAACATAATGAATTTTTCCTAGGAAAGTAACTAGCTATAATGAAAATTCGAGGGAAGGAAAAAAAATGCCGCTAAAGACAGGAAATAACTTGATCTTTAAATACATATAATATTATGTTCAGTGTATATGTTTAAAATTATAGTGAGGAGTAGTCAAACTTAATATACAATCAGCTCTTACAAATGTCTTACACAGTGCCACTTAGCTGCCATTACCCATGCAAAAATCAGGATTTTGCAGCTGTTTAACTATTCTTGGACTCTGTACAGGGTACATAGTGTATAACGGGAAATGTGTGCTGGTTCTCTGATAGGAATGCCATCCTGAAGCATTTTGGTTATGCACAGACCATTCTCAACCTGATGTTTTTAGAGGTATATTGGTTTCTTTCTCATTTATAAGGCTCTTGTGTCTTTTTTATTATTATTCTATGTGATTCAGGTGTATTTATTTGAAAAAAAATGTTTGTCATTACAAGAAGGAAAACCACACCGAACTGTATTGCCGAATCCCTTGTAAACTACCTGTGGCATCTGCACTTTCCTGGCTGTGTGCTCTTCCTCTGGATACGGCTCCCACACCATTGTAATTAGATCATTCCATTCCATGAGCATCTCCGTTTAAGTGGTTCACAGACGATTTAATAAAGAGAAACTGTGTCCTCAGTCAGTCCAGAGCAATCTCATATTAAGTTCTGAGTGGTCTCTATGCCTATCATGTTTTTAGATGTTACTGTGGTCATTATTATTTCATAAATGTCCATTAAGAGTGCGATTCTTTGAAGCTCAGAGAGCCAGAGGGGCATTTGCTGCTGACGGAAATGGAAGGATGCTCCGGCAGCACTGTGGGTCTCTGGTCCCCTCTGGTGAGGCTTCTCTCTGAGTCACCCAGGTTGGAGAGGTGACACTCGCCCAGGAGTGAGAAAACGTGCTCCAAAATGTTCTCATTGCCCATGTGCGAGTCTTCATCCCTCAACTCTGCTCACCTTGAGGAGGTAGGTGCACCAGGGGCCATCCATAGATTAAGGATTTGGGTAAGAGAGAGAGGAAATCCAGCGCAAGCTAGGTTCCACTCTACCAAAAGCCATAATAGACCACCCCCCACCTTTTTTTTGAGGGAGAGAGTGAGCAGCACAGGAGGAGGGGCAGAGGGAGGGACTCTCAAGCAGACTCCCTGCTGACTGCAGAGCCCGACACAGGGCTCCATCTCAGGACCCTAAGATCATGACCTGAGCTGAAATCAAGAGTCGGATGCTCAACCCACTGAACCACACAGACGTCCCAACCCCATTTCTGAAGTAAAGATATGTCAAAGCTAATAGAAGTTATAATAAGCCATGTATGCAAATTTATACTCAGGACGCAAATGCAGGTTTTCATTGACAGAGCCAGCCATGAGCCAGGCACGGTTTACTGCCTGAGGAAACGTAACAGCTAATGCTCACATCTGACAAAAGACCAAGCTATGTTTAGCCTTGTGGGTGGTTCTCGGTCATTCTCTGCTTGACAGATTCCCAAACTCATTTTGCCCACTTGTGATGTATGTCAAAGCTGCCTGCACATCCAGAGAAAATGAATCCACATGCTTTGGATTTGTTTAAGCTGAAATCAGCAAAATGTCTTTTTTTTTTTCAATAGTTGAGAACCAAAAACCAGTCTTCCTTCTGAAGAAACAGAATACTTCATTTTGCCAGAAATAAATACATAAAACCCAGATGGCTTGCTCCTGACCATGAGAAGCTGCAGGTTTAGATAGCTACTGGGTGCCACTGTGTTGGTGAGGCAATCCAGAAGGTCTGTGTTATCACTGGAGAAGAATCTCATGCTGTACCAGGGAAGCAGCTCTAATTCTAGTGTCAGACAGAGTTGGGTTCTTATCCAGGCTTAGCTGCTTACTAGATCCCTTACATCGTTTTCACCTGTAAAATGGGCACATGAATTTTTACAGCACGGTTGTAAGATATGGGATAATGACTATAAAATGCCTAACAGGGGCACCTGGTTGGCTCAGTTGGTTAAACGTCTGACTCTTGGTTTCAGTTCAGGTCATGATCTCAGGGTCCTGGGATCGAGTCCAGTGTCAGGTTCTGTGCTCAGCATGGGAGTCTCCTTGTCCCTCGCCCTCTGTGCCTCCCCCTACTTGTGAGCACTGTCTCTAAAGCGAATAAATAAAATCTTTTAAAAAATATTTTCTTTTTCTCCCCCTCTCTACATACCCCCCCACTCTCTTATTCCCTCTCTTAAAAAAAT